GAATTTATAGGTGTCTTGTCTAGTAATAAAAGCAGTTTTCTTTTTGTCAGCTTCATTTACAGCTACTTGCCAATATCTGCTAGCCAGATCTAAACTAGTAAACTATTGGGCTCCTTCAAAGACAGATAAGATTTCATTAATATCAGGGAGAGGATAACATCTTTCTTTGTAACTGCATTTAGCTTGCAATAGTCAATGCAGTGTCTTTTTTTTCCATTTTTCTTAGGCACAATAACTACAGGTGAGGACCATGGACTGCATGATTCTCTAATAATTCCTCTTTTTTCCATTTCTTCAATTTCTTTTTTGAGAAATTCTTGATCATCTGAAGAAGCTCTATAGGCTCTTTGTTTAATTGGACAAGCATTTGGAGTATAAATTTCATGACAAACTTTATTAGTTTGGCCTAGTTCTAAGGTTTGTCCTTCCTCAGATATGTTTTCTACAAAAATATAGTAGTTGTTAAGAAGAATTTTCTCTGCAATCTTTTTCTCGATATTGGTAAGAACAGTATTGACTTGCATAATAGTAGGTTGAACTTCAACTTCAGCAGTAAGAGCAACATAGCATGCTGAGTTCTTTTTAGTAATAACTTCAGTCCAAGGGTTGTAGAATAAATTTTCATCTTCTTGTTCTTCTTCTTCAGTATAATAAGTTTCCATTTCATCATCTTGTTCAATTTCATCAATCCATTTGTCTTCATCAGTAAATTCTTCAAATTCTTCAGGTACTGGCTCTCCACTTACATAAGTTGTATAGATAGTGGCTTTTTATTCTAAGTATCTAATTTTTAAAGTATGATTATCAAAGTCCAGGTTTGCTCTAGACTTGTTGAACCAGTCAGTTCCTAACAAAAGTGTCTCATCTTTTGACTCAGTTACTTGTAAGTCAATAGGAATCACTATGTTTTGAAGAGTAATCTTCACATCAGTAATAGAACCTAATGCTTTTTCTCTAGCTCCATTAGCAGTAACAACTATAGTTTTTGATTCTTGGTTGATCTTTAATCCAAGTCTTTTTATTAATTTAGCTGTAATTATGCTAACAGCAGTACCAGAATCAAGAATAGCTACTACTGGCTGTCCTTTAATGTTTACATGGCATCTCATTGCTATTGTCTTTCATTTGGGTTCTAATTCTACATGGTTTGCTTCAGTAATAGGTGTATTACTTCTTTTTATAGTTTGGGCAAGGTTTTTACATTGGTTAGGATATTGTAATAATTGTCTATAGGTAACTTGAGCTTGCCTATTCAAGAGGTCTTTGGAGATATCATAAGATTCCAATTAGTCAATTATAGAAGAAAGTTTTTGATTTTTTTTTTAGTAATTTTGGGAGGTTTAAGGACTTCAATTGGTTCATCAACCATGTCTTCTAATTCAGGTTCATCAGGAAATACAGTTCTGTTTCTTAATCTAATTTCTTTTTGAGATTCTGATTTCTTTTGATTTTCTCTTTGAGCTTCTTTTTGTACTTTTCGATTAGTACTATAAGGTTTAGAATGAGGAGTGCAAGTAATATAAACTTCATCTTCATCTGAATAGTATTCTTTATCTTCTACAGCAGTATAGTTAATTTTTCTATTTGTCTGTGGTTTTGTATTCATCTGATAACATTGTTCTTTGATAGGTAATCTTTCTGCCATACAGTCTCTAGTAATGTGTCCATGTTCACTACATCAATAACAAACGATATTGGATTTTGAATTATTAGCAAATCTTGGATAGTTATTAGGTCTTGGATTATTAGTAAATCTTGAATAGTTATTAGGTCTTGGATTATCAACAGGGTTTGGTTTTTGGTAAAATTGTCTGAGTTGATTTGGATGATACTGAGTTTGTGGTTCAGTTTGAGTACTTAAAGCAGATGCAATAGAGGCGTAGTTTAATGACATCTGATTCATTTGTTTGGTTAGTTGTTCTATTTCCTTTTCATATATAGCAATATTAGGATTAGTTAAGCCAGGGTCAGCATTAGTAGCGAAGTCAGTTCCTTGTTCATGGGTTCTGGCAAGTTGAAGAAGTCCATCTAAGTCTCCAGGATTATGAGTAAGAAGAATAGGTAA